CTTTCCCAAACCCCCGCTTAACGAGGACTCTTTGTGCACCGGGTTGCCTTTTTTTTGGCTCTCATGTATACATATGTCGGTGCAAATAGCTACTTCAAGTATGGCCTGTACAAGACCTCCTTGACTGGTTATCTTACACTTTGAAGTCAAAACCTAGTTTGCTATTTTGATCACCGATAATTTAAATAAGTGAGAAATGATGTGGATATGTTGCAAATATAAGAGAATATGACGCAAAACCGAAATGAATGGAAAAAGAGAATTCATGCGGCCGACTCCAAATAAACTTGGGATTAAGGCGATGTTGTTGTTGTTGTTGTATGGAACAATTTTCATCACATGGAGTTGTTTTCTCCTTTTTTTGTTTCGTCGTTAACGATTTTCTTATTATTCCCTGCTCAGGATTATTTTGATATCATCCATACTCCTATGGACTTTGGAACAATTTGCAACAATCTTGAGAAGGGTGAGAAGTATAAGAACTCAGCAGATGTTTACAAGGATGTACAGTACATTTGGGATAACTGTTGCAAATACAACAAGAAAGGTGATTATATCTTGGACCTAATGAAGCGGGTGAAAAAAAATTATATGAAGTACTGGACTGCGGCTGGATTGTATACTGAGCAATCCACAGGTATTATATCATTTATTGTATCCAGTATTTGAATATTCTGTTAATCTATTACCTTGAAATCAATGATATATGTGCTGAGATTTGTGCTATGCTTAATTTTTGTACAATTGGTAGCAGAAACTCAATGTTGTGTTTTTCCTATTTCGCGTCGGCATATGGTGTAAATTGTTTAGAACTTTTCCTGAGGCATCTGTCATTGCTTAATCTTTTATTGATGTTTCTGGTAAGGGCTAGTGTTACTTCGTTTTTGAAGAAACATCCTGGTCTAATGCATGTATCCCCAACTTAATAATCAAAGTAGAAAAAAGTTATCCCCCGTGTGTTGAATTTTTGGCTGTTTGGTGTTTTTTCACATTCAACTGAAAGTGTTCTTTTTTCATGCTGGTGACATAATAATACACCCATCCGGAAAAGTTGTGTAGATGAGTTAATCCTGATTGTGTACTGCATGTATGCATTTGTCTATGGTGATCACTATGCATTTTGCGCCTCGTTTAAGTTAATTTCAAATTTATTTCTCTTAGAATTTTTAAAAGAACATTTATAAAGCAGTATATAACAAGTAAGTTTGTTTACAAATAGAAATTGTCAAGAATTTTGCATATCAAGGGGAAAATGTATGTGTTTGTTACTTGGAATGCATCTATTGGTAGTGAATATCAGTTAAGAGTATTTGGGGCTACAAGTAGCATTCACATCGATTTAATTTTTTTTCTTCTGTTATGGACAGAGAGCACACAACTTGAGGATGGTGCACAATCAAGCCTGGGGAAAGGGTCCACAAAAGGCAGTCAACTGAAGCAGAAGAGTCATAAACGCCATGGGTATGTTGAGGAGGGAGTTCTATGTACATTGGTCAAGCCTCTGATAACAGGATCTGGTCCACCATTTTCATAATCTAAGCCTATATTTTCTGTCCTCTTTCCGCAGCTAGAAGTTTCCCCCCTGTTTCTATTTCTTTGGATTTTCTGTGAGTCTGGCCAGCTAAAATCATTTGCATGCACACTAATAGCCTGAACTTTGATCAAAAATATCCTCTGCATGTGGAAATCTCCTCCTGATTGGAGCTAGAATAGCTCTTGTATCTCTTCCATGCACTCTGAAAATGGGTCTGGGATTGAATATTCATTTGTGTCATCTTTATTGTCATCTGCAGAAGACACCACAAGAGTGATTGCATGTGTGCAGTATGTATTCTGAAGCGCCGGAAAAGAGAACGTGAGCACAACGCCAGAATTGCTCAAGGACAGTCTGGAACGCAAGAGGTTAGAACTAAATTTCTACAACATATACACACATGCTCACATGCATTGATCCATGTTCATGTATTTGGTGTGCTTCGATTTAGACTGGTGACTTTCTATGTCAGAGAGTTATCCTGAGATTTTGGTTTCGGTTTAGCCACACTACTGTAACAAGTGCTAACTTTGTTTGTGTTTTCTCGTGAAGGAATATTCGCCTGTGGCAAGTCCCTCCATCGAGAATTCATCGCTAAACATGGGCGAGGAGCAGGACATGGATACCGATGTTGACAACAGGAATGGGGGAAAATCAGAAACTGTGCAGATTGACAGCCCAATGGAAGAAAAACAAAGAGTGACTGAACCCAGACATGAGGCGGAGGCGGAAGAGGAAGGTGAAGGGGATCTGGATGTTGATGAGGAAGATCATGTGATGGAAATTGAAAAGATAAATGAAGCTGATAAACACAAGAACCATTCTGTGGATAGATCTGCAGAAGAGCCCAGTGATCAGCCTGTGACTGATACTGCGGAGAAGTCAGATGCAGTAGTTTTGTCCGAATGTCAAAAATCGACTCAGCATGAGGAGGAAGACAAAGCCATCCGGTTACAGAAGCAGAAGGTATTCCTTGGTCTGACGCTTTCACATTTTACCTTGTTTCAACATATCTGAGGCCTTATTTTATTTGCGTTGAAAAAAAAAATTAGTGTTGGTATCTAAGTTAACGTAAATCCAGGGGAAAAAACAGGAATGGCTTGGCGGGGAGATAATCCCGGGCTCGCTTCGCTTTTTATGCAATATGCAGATACCGAGTTTTAACTTACCATGGCGTATTTCATTTGTGAAGGAACTACGGGAGTTGCAACGAAAAGAATGGCGAGCAAAGATGCACGAGAAGTTCCATATTGAAAACCCGAAGCTTCTACCTCTATGCGAAGCTCTCTTTCCCAACGAGAAGAGCAAATCTATATGGAGCGGACCTCACTCGCTATTTAACCGCCGAGGCACAACTCGTACAAAGACAAGCTCCGTCCACGAAGCAATTGAGACATTTATGAAGTAGCAGTTGTTTGTCTGTTAGATTGTGAAAAGGATTCAGAATGTAACATATTTAAGTTAGGAGCCATGTTTCAGCATGTCTTTCTAACATCAGGTATCAGCTGTTAGATTCATCGACTCCCAGTTCTGACGAAATAACATCCAGAAGGTATTTTCCTTAACCAGTCAGATACCCCAAGCAGAAACAGAAGTGTTTCTCTTTTGAATAAGATTTGGTTGGATACTCTGAATATTCGGAATGGATGTCAGAGGTGATGTGAGGGGTGAGGTCGGGCAACTTGTGAGGAATCGTCAGAATCATAATATTGTAATTTTTAAGTAGCGATAATTGTGTGTATATTGTATATATACATATATATATATATAATTTAAAAGATATTTTCATAAAATCTAGGATATCGCCGACATCCTCAATCCGATCTCATCTCATCATCTTCGATGAATCGATCTCTGGGTCGCGTGGACTCGACATCCCGGTACCTTGCTCAAATCTAACCGACAGCATGGATGATTAAAAGTTGGGCTAGTGTTTTAAGGTTGAATGTTGATTTAGTCGGGGTTTTATCAAAAATACCCCTATTATGCTACAAAGACTTCAAGGCATACCCCTGCAAAAATAAAAAAAAAAGTTAGTTCAAAACATACCCTTATAATTATGTTATTCCCATAATACCCATTGGCGTGGGTCCCAATGACAGAAACAGAAGAGAGAGAGAACAGTTTTCGGTTCCCTATGAAAAAATTTAAATATTTTAAAATTTTTAAAACTCCCTCCACCACAAAAAGTTAAAATTTTCGCGTGAATTTTAAAATTTTTCGGTGTGACCAGCGTGACCAGTGTGCCCAAGTGACCAGTGTGACTAGTGTGACCAGTGTGACCAAAACTAAATTTTGAACGGCGTGACCAGTGTGACCAGTGTGACCAAAACTAAATTTTGAACGGTGTGACTAGTATGACCAAAATTAAATTTTGAACGGTGTGACCAATGTGACTAGTGTAACTAGTGTGACCAATATGACTAATATGACTAGTGTGACCAAAACTAAATTTTGAACGGTGTGACCAGTGTGACCAGTGTGACCAATGTGACTAGTGTGACCAATGTGACTAGTGTGACCAGTGTGACCAAAACAAATTTTAAACGGTGTGACCAGTGTGACTAGTGTGACCAGTGTGACCAAAACAAATTTTAAACGATGTGACCAGTATGACTAGTGTGACCAGTGTGACCTGTGTGACCAATGTGACTAGTGTGACCAGTGTGATCAAAATTAAATTTTAAACGGTGTAACCAATGTGACGTACCTTTGTTTTTGTTGTCAATCCGTTCCATTATCGCTCCGAACATTTATTTGAAATTAAATATGCACCTCTTGCATATTCTTCGACAGATTTGCTATGCATCTATCTCATTTTCATAAAAAAAAATACACGATTCACTCTAAAAATCATAAAACTCAAACCCAAAACACAAAGTTTATGCATCGAATCAATCTCTTGTATTAATGAACTTACCTTCAGTTTTTGTCATTTGTTCTGTCTTAGACCGACTCAAGAAGAAGATATGAGGTCGTCGGTGAAGATATGCTCAACGAAATAACCATTTTTCGTTTGTTTTTCTATGTATAAAAATGAAATGAGAAGAGAGAAAATGAAAGAGTTGAGAGAAATATAAGAGTAGAGAGAGAAAGTTAAGAAAGAAATGAAGAGTTATCAAAGAATGAAAATGAGAGAGATGAATTCAAAATGAAGAGAGGAATACCACGTTACTTTTTGTGAGAGGGTTAATTATGTCTTTTGTTCCTTTTATTTTTTTTTCTAAAATTTTAGGGTTTTGGAGGGTAGTCCGTGAAGTCTATGTAGCAAAGTAAGGGTATTTGTGCTATATTGCCGTTTAAGGGCTTAGTAACACATGTTTGGGAATAAATACTCCAATTACGATTAATAAAAAGGGAATTAATCCGATTGATTTAGGATATAATAATGTAATTTTGGATATTGAAACTATGACAAATGGTTGAATTTTATTCGTATTATTAAACGACACTAGGCTTCCTATACAGACAACAATTGCCCCTTTGGACCAACTTAACAAAAATCACCACACAAATCTCAACTAAAAACACCCAAAATTTCACATTTATAATTAAAATAAAAACACTGCAAATACAATTTTTTTTTAAAAAAAAAAAATTCAATTCTCACCCAATGATGATAATAATGATGTTACTCTTCGGAGTTATTCGAGTAATCGTCTCCGCTATCATCATCCGGGCCGCTCTGCTGCGGCTGCGGTTCTTTGTTGTTCATTTCACCAGCGTTTGAATTTGCGTTTGCGTTTGCGTTTGCGTTTGACCCACGTCTTGCATACGCCGCGTTCAGCGCGGCTAGCATCCCGAGGTTCGAATCCGGCATCCCTAACCCTCGACACTCCGGCGGCGGAGGATTCGCAAACGGCCACATCTGGGCACGGTGGCATGCGGCGGCGCTGCTGCTCTCCACCGCCGGATTCTGACCGGAACCCAACGCCGACGGAATAACACTCGCTGTAGTCACCGGAAGCATCCAGAAGGTGTTTCCGGAGGCTCTGCTCGCCGGCGTCAACGCCCACAAGGCCGCTGCAGCCGCCTCCGCTGGCGAGATCTCGCTGTTCTTCAGGGTTTTGTTTACCTGTTCCGTCTGATGGTTCTGGTTCCGATCGTCGTTTTCCTTCGACAAATCATCGGATCTGTAGCGTTTTCTCCCGAAATTATCGTCATCGGATCCCGGAATAGTCTCTGCCGCCTGATCAGTCCCGGTGGCGGTCAACCGATGGTTCTGGTTGTCAAGTTGTTGTTGTTGCTGCTGAAGATGGCTCCACAGGAACGGCGGTGCGTGGCTCCCGAACGCGCTTCCCGGTCCGTCGTACGGGTGGTGGTGATGCTGACTCAGTCCTAGAGCACCAAACAACGGCGCCGATCTCGACGGCGGAGCTGAGAGCGTCGATCCGCTGCTTCGGATGGGGACATTGAGGGAGGAGAAGTTCGCCGGAATCGTTCCGGTTCCCGTGGCGGGGATTAACCCCGGCGCCCC